AGAGAGAGAGAGAGAGAGAGAGAGAGAGAGAGAGAGAGAGAGATGAGGGCCTGAAAATGGCTCTCAGTTTCAGGCTGAAAAGACTCAGGGCCGGAAAGGCCCTGATTTAGGCTGAAACGACACAGGGCCTGCAGGCCCTTGTTTTCAGGCTTTCAGGCTGAAACAACACGGGGCCTGTAGGCCCTTGTTTTCAGGCTTTTGGCCTGAAAATGTCACGGGCTTGAAAGTGGCCCGTGCAGCCTGTTGCAGGCGCAGTGTGTAACACACACACACACACACACACACACACACAGAGAGAGAGAGAGAGAGAGAGAGAGAGAGAGAGAGAGAGAGAGAGAGAGAGAGAGAGAGGCAAGGTTGTAGAAGGGTACTGGGGATGAGTAGTAAGCAAGAGTGCGCAGGACCGCGGTGACGCATGGCTCCCATGGGTCTTCAGCGAGACAATGCCCTCTGGCTGAATTTGTTCGGTGCATTGTTGTTAATATCTGTCGAAAAGGAACGAGGGCGTGTTTATCAATTTCACAGCCTGTAGGGGTTGCATTGTTTCCAGCCCTGTTGTATTATTTGCAGCCCTGAAGGCTGCGGTGTAGCAGGGTGCAGCTTCTGTATCCATGGCTCGTCCTTTTCTTTCTTCTGATGACCGACATGATGAGGGTACTGTGATTGGTAGCTACTGTTGGTTTTGTAGGGTTGTTCTTTTTTGGACCTATTGCATTGTAGGACCGGTAGTTTTCCATAAAATGTTGAGGTGGTTTGTGCAAAATTGTGAGATCCCCGACTTCAAAGAATTTTAGTTCTGATTTCTGGCTATTGAAAAGTTTGAAAAAACTTCAGAGATGTAGATCGACTTACCGTGAGGGCACGGGTGCACAGCCCATAGTTTGTATATGCATGTGGTTGGGGGAGGGTAAGGGTGTGTGACACTGTGTGTGCGTCTGTGTCTTGGTCTGGGGTGTGGCAGAGGCCATTTCGGGATATAGGTGCAAGTTTAGCCCTGGGACTGCGTATAGTGGGTATGCCAATAGGGGTACAGATTCATGATAGGCACTCATCATCACGGTGCTGGCGACTTGGTTGGTGTGGTGCTCGTTCGCGTATGCTGGCAGTGTGATCACATTCTTGCTGGAGTGTAGGTCATGCATGAGGTAGAGAGTGCATGGCTGGAAGGCTGTAAGTTGGGACATGTCTGGTGTGTTGGGAGTATGATGATGCTTGCTGCTGCTTATGGAGGCACTTGCATTGTGATGTCGGTGGTTCCGTGGCTTCAACCAGTTAACGAACAACACACCTCACGGATGGTGAGACAATCTGTGGTTGGGGGCAGCGTTGGCGAGGTATGTTGTCCCAGACCTTTGTTGTTCTTACACAGAGGAGTGTTCCGATTGAGAGTCCTCTTTTGGTGAGGTGCTAGAGAGCGCACTACCTTGAGAGTCAACATTCCTCTGGCACATCTGGTGGGAGACAGGCGGTGCATGTGAAGTGCATGGGGTGGTGAAGCATGAGCCCACGTCGAACAAGAGCTCATGGGAGTAGTGCACGCATGAATGCGCAGTTCACACTCAGCTTCAGCAGCGCGATAGGAACCGTAGTGTGGTGGCCTGGGTAGAGGTTTCACCCTAATTTCCCAGAAGGGCATGAGGGCATAAGGGAAGTCGTCCTGGCCACCCACTGTTTGGTTTGTGCTCTGGGATGGGCCGGTTCACTGCAAGACTGCATCTCGCATAAGCCACTGGATAACGTTGCAATGATAATCTGTGGGACATATGGAAAGGGGGAAGGTTGCAGCTCTCAACTCGCTTGTATATGTATTCTGTTTCTGCATGTGATATATTCTGTAGGGAGCATCTCACATGTTCTGTTTTATTAGTTGCTCGGCAGAGTGCTGGTACTAATTAATTGTGCACAGCTACATCAGAAATCTACTTAGCCTGTTTGTTAGCTGCATTGCCAATTTTTAGGAGTCATCAGACAATGTCAGTGTGATTTGCGATAGGGTGTGAGTGTTTCTGTACCTGGGTCAACTTCTGTCTACGGTAGGACAAAGAATAGGCTGTTCTAGTGTAGGTAGAAGTCGTTTCTGTTCGCATGAGCGGTGAAGTGAGTGAGGGAGGAGAAGATGATAGGTGTGTGACAAGCTGACTAGGCTTGGAATAGAGGCTGCTGCCAGGAGATGGGCTGCTGCTGCTACGGCCGCCCCGGAGTTAGCAGAGATGGCCTGGGCTGCTGCTGCTACGGCCGCCCCGGAGTTAGCAGAGATGGCCTTAGCAGCACATAGGCATCCGGTCAGAGTGCAGTGCCAAGTTATGGTCAGGGCACAGGGCAGTCTGTCTTGAGTCTCTCCGTGTGGACTGCTGTGTCTGCGCTCTTCTGCTGCCTTGCTTCCTACCTGCTTGCCATGTCTTTCCCTTCAGTTTGCCTGTTTATCGTTTAGTTTGGTTGCCGTGGGAGTGTTGCTTTCTGCCTCGTTGGATTGTTGCCTTGTTGCCCATCTGTGTGCCTTATCTTTTTGTGCACTTTGCTTATGTGGCATGTAGTTTGGCTGCTTTGTCAGCGTTGCCTTATTGTGGCATACTCAGTTCCACATGGGCCCAGCAGGCCCGACCAGGTAGGCTAGGGGTCCGTAGAGTATAGGGTCGTTTCGACCCACAGTAGGGGTCCGTAGGGTCGGTAGGCCAGTTTTAGGCCTGAGTAGGACCGGTACCAGTTAGAGGCCCTGTAGGTCTCGTTTTGGCTACAGGCCCTGGTGCACGTTTTGGCGCCGGACCCTGATTTTCAAACCGCGCTGTTTCAGTAGGCGTTTGAGGCCCAGCCTCAGTTTAGGCGCCAAACTTTCGAGGCCCAGCCTCAGTTTGGGCGCCAAACTTTCGAGCCCCACCCTCAGTTTGGGCGCCAGGACTCAGCAGTTGAGGCCGACCCAGTGCTATACATAGCTGGGTCCGGCCTCAATCAGGGCATTCCGTAGAGGATCGAGTGGAGGCATACTTCACACGACGGCCGTACAGTAGTAGTCGACGATAGGACTAGTTTTCCAGCGCTGGGCGCTGATAGAGTAGAGTAGCGCAGGGAGGGAGAGATGGTGATGGCGGCCAGAGGACTTACCTGAGACTTACCTGCATGGCCATCGCTCCAGCTTCGTCTTCAGCACGTCCGTACCTACATCAAACTCGCTTTCATTCACACTTCTCATGCATACAAACAGGTGAGCAGCAAACTGGCGACAAGCGCCCACTCAGAACTCAGAGATATGGTAACCGAGAACACAGTTCAGATACAAGTTCACTTCAATGGCTATGGCGACTCAGCGCCCACACAACTCACTGTTTGCACACACAGGATCACCCTGGATATTTTGCTATGACAGCGCTTCCGCATGGCTCACGCAGGAATGAATGAATGGCTGGGCGCTGCCCTTTGATTTATACTTCTGTTGCTCGCTGGTCTGGCCCTTCCCCATGCCTGTGGTGCACACAGTCCCATGCGGTACTTGCTTGACTGGACTAGGACTGACTTGGACCGGTACTGCTGACTGCATGGGTTTGCACTGCGAACTCAGCGCAGTCGCAGTGTCGACGTACTGCAGTTGGGCTCACCAGCTGCCCACTTGCCCACTTGCCTCAGTCTAAACGGAAGCAACTTCGAAAGGCCACTGCTAGGACCTTCCGGAAGGCCGTGGACTTGGCCTTTCGATACTGTAGCAGCTACGACCTTGACCCTTCAGGACTGTAGCAGCTACGACATCCAGAACTCTCTAAGACTTCTACTCGACAGACCTACAGATCGAACCCCTTTTACCTACGGACCCTACGACAGTCTACCAACTGTTACAAATACACAGGTCACGGGTTCAACTCTTGGGGTCGACACAGATATTGTACACAGGTAGGGTGAGGTCTAGGGATGGAGCCCTGGGATCTGCATCAGGTACTGCGAACTGGTGAATACCGTTTCACTCCCGCTGGCCTAAATTCGAGGTCTGTCGAGAATAACTCAGTCCAAGGCAGGACTTTTACCTTTCTGATCTCTCTCGTAGGCTCTAACTATGTCGGGAGCTGTCTCTAGAAGTTCTGCTCTAGTGAACCAGCGGCCGTCCTCCGGTTCCTGATACGCAAACCGGACCTTATACTGCTTCTGTGGATGGCCTCTACCTCCTGTTCTGAACACATCTTCACCTACAATGCCGTCAATGTCGTATCTGCCGTCCATGTCTGGAGGGATTATGGACCGTCTAGATGGCAACTGTTGACTTGTGACACATGGCAACAACTTTGATGTGTGAAACACAGGGTAGGTGTGGAGGTGTGCTGGGATCTTTATGGTGTAGGACGGTCCATCCTCTCCGCCCTTAACTTCTAGAACTTGCCACGGTCCTCTATACGCGGGCAGTAACTTCTGCAAGATGTTTTCCTCAGGAGCAAACTCTTTAGACTTGACCCAGACTAGGTCGCCTACCTGAAACTGCGACGGGCGACGATGCTTATTAGGTTGTTCTATCATCCGGTGTTGGGCCTTCCTGAGGTTTTCAACAACAGTGGCTATCTCTTTCTCGTGCTGTATCGCGAACTCCCTGGTACCGGGCGGTAGCCTGTGAATCTGAGTGCGGTTAAGTCCCTCAAACGGTCTACGTGGTCTAAAGGACTTGTGCAACTCGTTGGGAGTGCGACAGGTGGACAAATGCATGCTGTTATTGTACGCACTGCCTACCTTGGGTAACATCTCATCCCAGTTAATCTAATCTGGTCTAATGTACATGCGCAAAACTTTTTGCAGGATCTTGTTCATCTGCTCTGTCTGACCGTTAGTCTCTGGATGGCGGCCAGATGACATCAACAACTTAGATCCATAGACTCTCATCAGTTTTTGCCAGTTCTGGCTAGTAAAACGTGTATCTCTAACACTAACAATAGACAATGGGACGCCATGCTCACTAACCCAAAAATCGAAAAACTTCTGAATGACTAACTCTGTACGTGACTCTGCAGGCAAAGGAACAAAAACAGCATACTTGCTAAATCTATCGACTATAACCATGACTTGACTCTTGCCGTGCCTACTCTTGACACCGGTGTCCATAAAGTCAATGGACACTGAATCTCCTGCCTGATCAGGAATAGGCAAGGGTCTGAGAAGACCTCGAGGGGCACGCGTAGTGCTCTTGTTTCTCTGGCAAACTTTACAACGACGGACATACTCTATGCAATCGTTCTTCATTCTTGGCCATGTATACGCGTGCATTAGATTGGCTAGAGGCTTTTGCCACTCGAAATGTCCCTCTGTGTCGTGGCATTCCCCTAAGATCAAACTGCGGATCTCCTCACTGTTGGGAACACACAGTCGGTCTACTACATTGGTCTTCTCAAATAACAACCACTTTGTAGTGCAGTAATCTGGCGCGGTCTCTGGGGCCTCCTTAACTTTCTTAAGGAGGTCACTATAAATCGGGTCCTGCGCATACGCCTGTCTAACTTTCTCCTGCAGGTCACTCCCTATGTCCAGATGGTGAACGATAGCTCCAAAGTAGTCTGATCTACTCAGAGCATCCGCAACTACATTATACTTGCCTTTCACAGGCTTGAGCTCGAAGTCATATTGGTCTATCTCAGCGGCCGACCTAGTCAACTTAGGTGTCATTTTGGCCTGTGTCTTCAGCCATCTAAGGGTTTCATGGTATGAATACACCTTGAAGTGCCTTCCAAGCAGGTAATGCTTCCAGTGCTCTAAGGCCTGCTTGAGAGCGTAGAGTTCTCTCTCATACGTCGAGGTGGCTACCTTTTCTGAGGGCATCCTCGCTGATATGAACTCTACGGGTTTGTAGCCATTGCCGTCGTCCTGCTGTAACACGGCGCCTATTCCATACTGACTTGCGTCCGCGGTGACGAGAAATGGCAAGGATGGATCTGCTACTTTGAGGACAGGGTACTGTATCAACGCACGCTTTAACTTCTTTAGCGCAAATGTACAGTTCTTATCCCATTCCCAAATTGCCTCTTTCTTGAGCAACCTGCGAAGGGGAGGGGCGATAGTTGAGAAGTTCTTCACGAACTTCCTGTAATAGTTAGGCTGGCCTAGGAATGATCGCAACTCTGTCAATATGCGGGGCGTCGGCCAGTCTCTTATCGCCGCTATCTTACTGTCCTAAGGCTTAATGCCATCTCAGTCTAACACGTGGCCCAAGTATAGGACTTGTGTCTTGGCCCACTCGCACTTCTTCGCATTGATCTTAAAGTTAGCTTCTCTCAGCTTCTCCAAGACCTGCCTCAAATGACCCTGGTGCTCCTGGAGGGTCCTACTGAACACTAAGATATCGTCTAAATAAACTATGACGAATCTATGTAACCAAGGCCTAAACAGATTATTCATACATCTCTGAAATGTAGCTAGTGCATTCGTCAGTCCAAAGGGCATCACTATGAACTCATAATGCCCATACCTAGTACGGAATGCAGTCATGTGCTGGTCATCAAGATGGACTTCTATCTGATGATATCCGAACATTAAATCAATCTTGGAGAAATATCTGCAGCCCTGCACCCGATCTAAGAGATCGTCTATCGTGAGCAGTGGTTCAACATTCTTAACTGTGATTGCATTCAGACCCCTATAGTCTATACAAGTACGTAGCTCTCCTTCCTTCTTGGGGACAAATAGTACCGGTGCTCCAAAAGGAGACGAACTGGGACTAATCCAACCTTTTTCAAGGAGCTCGTCCAACTGCTTGCGTAGCTTCTCTAACTCTCTAGGGGACATCCTGTAGACTGCTCCCTTAGGAGTTCTACTGCCAGGCTCTATCTCTATCATGTGCTGGATTGGCCGCGACACTACTCTTGTCGGCGGCTCTGTCAGATCTTTAAACTCTTCCAGCACCTTGGCAATGGTTGGATCCATGGAACTATCCTCTTCCTTAGGCTCAGTGACAGGTCTAACATACACTACGAAGACCTGGTCCTCTAATTGGTCCTTTCTCACTAATCGCGCGAACGAGGGAGCACTGAGGCAGCAATGCGCCAAGGAGATATCCACTCCAGACACATGGAACAGACGGGTTGTCTTAACGTCGCCTGACGGACTAGGGAGCCTACACTCATGCTCTCTCAAGTGGAGTGTGGCCCCTGCTGCCTCTCCCCAATCCATACCTAGGACTATATCGAAAGGAAGGTCATCCTGAACGAGGAGAGTCAGGGAATGGAGAACTTTCTCCACCTTCTCATCTTTTTCTAGGCGGAAGTATGCCTGGACTCCCTCTACGTAGTCCTCAACACGCATCGTGTGGTTGTCTGCGAGGACACTAACTATGGGGTCTTCTAACTTTTGGACTTCCAATCCTAGCCTCAACTTCTTCAACGCTCTACGACTAATATAACCACGGGTAGCCCCTGAATCTATAAGGGCCCCAACTCTACTCCTAAAAACTTCTGCATCACCTAACACTAGCTGCCCTTTACTATCTTTCTTCATCTTGGCCCAGGCAGGCATCCTCTCCTTCCGGGCCCCAACTGTGAGGGACGTACCTAGAGAGACGCTGACACAAGCAGTCTCTGGACAGCTAACTAGGCATGGGCTTGCAACCTCTGCTGAAGGCTAATGTGGTGTCAGAGTTTCCTGTACGCGCGCGCTCGCTTCCCCACATGGCCTAATAGTTGGGCCAGTTGCAACCCCTACCGGCAGCTGCCTTTTGACTCCAGGACAGCCCATCGGGCCTGTCTATACGTAGGACAATATTTGATAATATTAGCAGGGTCACCACAGTAAATGCACTGCATCTGCTCCATTCGCTGTTGCCACACTTTCTTGTCGAGGCCCATATCTTCCCAAGGCCGGCCTTGTGGCCAACCTGGGTGCCAACCTCCTGACCTTTGAGGTGACCTACCACCTCGTCGCTGTGGGGACCGACCAGGACCTTGACGGTTCGGCGGGGGGCCTTGACCCCTACCTCCCATTTGACGGTTCCCTTGACTGCCAACCCCCTGTGCGCCCGATCCTCGGCCTCCCATGGCCTGGCCCCTTTGGCCTTGGCCTCCTCTACCTTGCAGCCTCCCTCCAGCAGCGACAATTGCATAGGACCTCCCCTGACCTACGCTACTGTCCTCCTCCTCGAGTCCCCACTCAATCGGACTGTAGGGGACCTCGTCTGTACCACCTTCGTCTAAGGTAAGGATCAGATGATGCTTGGCTCGGACTTGGCCAGAGATGGTACGACCTTTCCACTTCTTTCCCTTATCTAAGTCCTTGTGCCAGAAAGTGGAAACTCGCATGGACTTGGCCTCAAACAAAACCACTTCCCTACTCAACGCGTCATACCTGATGTGGGGCTGCTGGGTCTTGTCAAAGAAGTGCCCTCGTAAGAGCTCTGGCATTGCACGATAGAACAACTGAACCAACTGGGTCTCAGTGACCCCGTGGTCCGGGACGGCTACCAAGTCGTCCATGACAGCTTTGAGTGCTTTCGCACCCCTCCACTGTTGCGAGTGGATGGTTTGGAGTTTATCGGAGGCCCTGACGCCTCTCGTGGTGTCAGCAAACCTCTCACGTAGGAGTTTGAGAAAAGTGGAGAGAGGGGTGAGTCGCGAATACGCAATCGTGTTGTGCTCACAATCTGCGGCGCGCGCTAAGGACCTGGCGAAGCTTGCGGCTTCGTCCTTCAACGCATGGAAGGCAACGAGGACCTCCTTGGGGGCGATATGCTGTAAATACACATAAGTGTTGACGTTGGCCTCCCAGTTGTCAAAACTATCATCCTTCTTCCCACTATAGGCATCAGGGAACTTAAGCTTTACGGACTCTTTGCGTTGACGCGCTGTGGCCTCTGCAGTGGCTACCACTTTGGCGCTTTCAATGGCGCCTGTGCAGAACTTATTTACGCCCTCCTTTAGCCTCTTAACCTCGGACCCGACATGGGGCACCACGTCGCGCGCAAACTCTCTGAAACCGGATCGGATGGCGTGAAGTGTCACATCTTGACCCTTAACGACCTGATGCTCTTCTATCCAGGTCTTGCTCAAAACCTCTAGGTACCCCAGAATCTTGTCTAATTTGGCGGGGACCTCAGCTTGTGCCTGCACCTCCTGTCTACAGGCTTGAACCCTCTCTACTTCTTTCGCCACCCTGTTGGCCTCCTCTCTCCTCCTCTTCTTCTCCCTCATCATCCGCAACTTCCACTCCAATTTCTTTTCATCTTCTGTTGTCTGGCGTTCCAGGGGATCATCTATCGCTTCCAACTCCCTGGCAAACACTTCTTGCTCTTCCTGCGGCACATACAACTGTGCCTCCTCATCCTCCCCTAACGATAAATTAGCCACCCACTCGGTAATCTTCTTTTCCATCCACGCGTCTTCTCCCTTCGTGCCACTTGCTTCTCCTCTTTCTTCTCCACGCCTTCTTTCAAGGGGTTCTTCTTCTTCTCCTTCTTCCTCCTCTGCTGCTGCTTCTTCTTCGGCAACCTCTCTCTTCTTTTCTTCCTCCCGCTCTAACATCATCATCTTCTCCTTCTGGAATCTCAACATCTCTTCTTCTAACTTCTTCTTCTTCGCCGCTTGCTCCTCTGCGATAGCCTTTAACTTCGCATGCTTCAGGAGCTCCTTCTCTTTCCTTTCTCTCAAAAGGGCGGAGATCCGGGCCTGCTCGGCCTCGGAGGGGGCAATACTCTTCCCAATACGGGTGTCAACCATGGAGTCTGGTGCACAACCGGATAACGGTTCCACTCCTCACCACTTAGACTGTACTCCCCCTGACTGACAAACCTACCGACTCAATCTAAGGACTTACAGAATCCGGACAGGATCCTGTCAACTAGGGTCTCTAGCCTAGACCTACTCTAAGGCTGTCAATACAAGACCTGTTGCTGATCAGGAGGCACTTAAGGAGATCCCCCGTAACTCCTCAGGAATTATTTAACGTCGCAGACAAGACGACGAGATCAGCAGGTCTTCTCAAGACTTAGACGGCTTGTTGTGCAGCCCACAACTCGGATTTTGGGCCTACCGTGCCACACCGAGCAGCCCGCCGGTAAGTACCGGTCCTTGGGAGGGTTCGTGTCCTCCGGGACAGTCGAGTCGTCAGACAGTCTTTAGCCCTACTCAGCTCGTGTGGGTTTGGTCAACAAGGCCCTATCCTTCATCCACAGAATTCCTAACACCTGGACAGAAGAGACTCAATGCAGAAAGAAGAGACAGACAGATTTGACTCAGCAAGTACCACAGGGTGTGTGCACATCCATAGGGCGAGGGGATAGGCTGAAGGCTTGGCAAGATTATACCGGCTCCAGCTTGGTCAAACTCGTGGTCAACAGCCCTGGTCAACGCCTTGGTCAATGCCTTGGTCAACGCTGCAGTCAACCCCCGGTCAACTCCTCGTCAACCCTGGTCAACGCCCGCTCAACGCTCGGTCACTCCCGGTCAACTCCGGTCAACGCCCGGTCAACTCCGCCGGTCAACTCCGGCTATGGCGGCCGGCTTCACCTTCGTTGCCACCCTTCTCCTTCCTTCTTCCTATCTCGCCTCCTTCCTCTTCGCCTTGACTGTCTTCTTTCCCTCTCTCTCTTTTTTTTTTTTTTTTTTTTTTGTTTCGTCTCCCCCTTCACCTCCTCGGCTATGGCTTCTTTCACCTTCCTCAGTCTCCTCCTCTGTCCTCTCTTCCACTATCTTCTTCGTTACTCTGTGGTCGAGCTCTGCGGCTATGGCCGCCTCTTCACTTCGTGGGACAGCACGGCATGCTTCACAGGTACATAACAACCAAACTTGTGTCGCTCATCTCTCTCTCTCCCTCTCTCTCTCTCTCGCCGTAGTGATGTCTTCAACGCAGGTATGTAGTTAACCAATCTTGTATCGCTCAACCTTCCTCAGTCTCCTCCTCTGTCCTCTCTCCCACTCTCTTCTTTGTTACTCTGTGGTCGAGCCCACGGCTATGGCCGCCTCTTCACTTCGTGGGACTGCACGGCACGCTTCACAGGTACGTAACAACCAAACTTGTATCGCTTGTCTCTCTCTCTCCCTCTCTCTCTCTCTCTCTCTCTCTCTCTCTCTCTCTCGCCGTAGCGATGTCTGAGAGAGAGAGAGAGAGAGAGAGAGAGAGAGAGAGAGAGAGAGAGAGAGAGAGAGCGATGGATGGATGGATGGAGAGAGAGAGAGAGAGAGAGAGAGAGAGAGAGAGAGAGAGAGAGAGAGAGAGAGAGTTCTGGACTTTGTGACCACAATGATCCGAAAAGAAACCTCTGAATTTCAGAAAAAAAAGAGTCGCTGCTTTTCTTTTTCTTCTTCTTCTTCTCCTTCTTCTACACCGATGTACTATAGCTTCTCAGTCTGTTGATGGAAATGTCAAGGCGACGGTGCATGTCAATGTCCATGTTTGGTCATGTTTGCTGTTGCTGGGGCGAGGTGTGGTGTTCTCCATGTTGCTTGATGTTACAGGTATGTTGTTGTCCACGTTTGCTAATGGCCAGGTATGTTGTTATCCTTGTCTGCTGACGCCCATGCTTGCTGTAACACCACCACTAACAACCCCAGCCCCACCATACTCCCCCCAAAAAACTCCCCCCAAACCCCCCCATCCCACCGAAAAATAGTTTCCTGGCTTCCTTTGCGCATTTCACTGTTCTCAGTGAGCGCAGTCTAACCGTGCTTAAAAAAAAATAATAATAATAATTTTTGGACCCGTTTTTAGCCCAACCGGAACTCCAGTTGGAGGACCTGGGTTGATCCGACGCGGTCCAACTGGCCAGTTGCCGGCCCAACACTGGTTTCATAATGTTTTGCTTTTTGGATATATCCTAAGGGCAAAAAAAGCATCGCTACTTTTGGCAATTCAAAAATTAACTGTCTGGATCGGTTGCTCATCCTCGACTCGGACGAGGACGTTGTCATTCTCATTATGCAGTTAAATCAGTAATTGAAAAGTAAAAAGCCCTCCATTAATTACCCAACAATAAAAAAAGAAAAAGAATGGAAACTTGTCCCTTCTTGTTACGCAGTAATACACAATTAAGGATACTGACACAAATTGGCAAGTGTTATATAAACATCAGAAAGTACAATGCCGTCCAATTGCAAAAAGAAATGAACAAACAGGAGAGGAGAGAGAGGGAAAGAAGAAGAAGAAGAAGTAAGAAAGAAGAAGAAGATGATGTGCTCCAACATAGACCAATGACAAGGCTCTTCTTCCTCGCCAACCAATCTCCTCCTCCTTATCTCCTCCCCTCTTATTCAAACAAAAAATAATTATAATAATGTTGAATGGCTGAACCAGAATCAATGTCCAAATCCCACTTCTACTGCAAGCACAACATGAGGTCCACCATAGCCATGGCCACCCTTCCTCTTCCTCAACATACAGGTCGGGGCTATGGCCGAGTACTGAGGGCTCTCCCTCCTGTCCGAAGGTCAACCCAAAGCAGCTATGCCGCTGCCCTTCTGTCCCCAGGTCAACTCCCTGCAGCTATGTCGCTGCCTACTTAACTGCCATGCCTGATTCTGTCCCGAGCTTCCTTGATGCGGCACTACCCCCACTGGGGCCTTCCAGATGCAGCACTAACAAGGTGATGAAGATGGTGTCCACCATAGCCAGGTAAGTACCCCGCCACTCTCCTCCTTGGTCCCCTTCTCCCTCCTCCTCCTACCGGTAGAGCTCCACCATAGCCAAGGTGGAAGTTCCCGGCTTCTTCCTCCCAGCAGCGCTGNAGAGAGAGAGAGAGAGAGAGAGAGAGAGAGAGAGAGAGAGAGAGAGAGAGAGAGAGAGAGAGAGAGAGAGAGAGAGAGAGAGAGAGAGATTGACGACACTTGGGATCGATATCAGCGACATTTGGGTTGACGACATTCTCATCTCTTCCCCCTTCTTCTTCGTCTCTTCCCCATCCTCCTCATCTGTGTGTGAGCTAGGCCTGGCACCTTCGTCCTTGTGTGCGGCGCCAGGCCTTTCACACCGTGTGATGATGATGATGTATGTCCAGTCTGCATTTCGAAATTGATTGGGTCTGATCATTGGTATTCCAGTCTTTCGCTGTGCTATCTTGCTCTATCTGTGAGAGGTCGGTTCAATCAATCATTCAATCAGCAATTTTTTATTTTTTTTTTCTGTTCTGCTGAAGTTATCACCTTGATTAGCACTAATTAGCACTAGTGCCACTAACGCGGATTGGCACTAATCCCAAGTAGTGCTAATCGGGGATTAGCACTTTAACCCTCATCAAGATTAACAACTAATTAACGGGTTAAAGTTCTGCAAATTCTTTTTCTTTCGTTTTCTTTTTGTTGTTGTAAGTTACTGATTCTTAAAAATCGAACTTTCGGCACTTGCAAATTTGTGAATCTCAGATTTCCGAAAGTATCGGCATTCCGCAAAATCTGCAAATTCCGTGAATTTCGGAATCCCGGAAATTTTGGCATTCCACGAAATCTGCAAATTTTGGAAATTCCGAAAATTTCGGTCACTTCGCGAATTCCGCTGGAACTGTGTCTAAACGGACTTAGGGTTAGTTCATAGGAATTAGGTTATTTCAGATTTCGTTTTTTTCAAAAATCGTGATTTTTCATTGAACTATTCCATAATTTTTTTCCTCGGGCGATACTGGCATAATTCCGGAAAATCTTTTTCCGAAAATTTCACAAATTTTGTTGCGATTCTTTTCCTAATTCGTTGCCCTTTTTTTTAACTGCTCGTTATCTGATAGATGCCTCCTTAATTCTCAAATCGGCAGATTCTGAGATTCCAAAAAAAAATGAAAATAAAAAATAAAAATAAAAAAAAACAGAGGTCTTTTTCTTTTTCTTTTTCTTTTTCTTTTTCTGTTGAGTAGTACCTGGGATTGGAAATTGCAATTGGACCCTAAGAAGTGGGAATGGAGAGCTTTTGGTCGTGATGGACAGAATCTGTACCTCCTGAAGTATACTCAAAAGGTAGGCTATAACCTAGCCATTCCACATCGTGACCCTCTCATAATAGCCATGACCCGTTGGCAGGCATTACTCTTGCTGGAACCAAAACAAATTATGTCAGACCTGAAGAAATGTTGGAACCAGTTGAAACAGATACCAAACCAGCGGCATGCATCCTTAATTTGGCTTCTGTCTATGGTTGCTACACCGTCCGCAGTCTGGTTGACTGAACATGGAATGAGAATAGATCCTACATGCCAAAGATGCAAGTGGGCATTGGAATCTACAGTCCATCTGTGGTGGGACTGCCCAGCCTCACACCCCATCTGGGTCTGGTGGGCGAAGAAATGGGATCAGTTGACTGATAAGATCTTTCCATGGGATAAGATCTGGTGCCTTTTGGGAGGAGTTCCTGGTAATCTTACCCCCCAAAAGGGATGGGGATATGTGGCACAAGTAGCAACGGCGGTGATCTGCTCTGTCATATGGAAAGGACAAAACGACATGGTTTTTGAAGGCAACGAATGGACGAACAGACAAATTTGAAATGCCATCCATCACGGTCTGAGACAGGCCATCTTGGCAGATTGGAGAAGGGAAGTTCAGAACACAGGAAACAAATACAAGGGGTTAAGCTGGTTCAAGGAAACCTGGTGCCTCCGTGGTTTGATGGCACGAGCTGCAATGGTTATTTTCTTAGTGGGTGAAGTTACTACCAACCTGAGTCGCTTGGTTATGGGTTTCGCAGTAGACAGGCAGTGGGCATTGGATGGAGGGAGCGTCTATAAGTAAGAGGAGAATCTTGGGGCTTGAGATTTCCCTCGCCGTCATAAGCCAGTGATGGTAGGATAGACAATACAGGATAGGTTCACAGTAGAGAGG